TAGAAGCTGCTGGCATTAGTTCAATATGCTTACAATTTGTCTCTGCAGCTTCATAGGTGTAACTAAGACATGGTTGTTTCAATGGTGATTTGTGTGTCACTGTAAAAGGATGCCAATGGAATGAATGGTGCAACATGCAAAAAAAAACAGAAATGAGTGAAAAAAATTTTTTTTACTTGTATTTTATAAATCTAATTGTTGCTTCAACATAGAGATTTCCTTTTCCAGTGCCACATCTTCTTCATCTTCCACTTTCAAAAAGAATGATAGTAGAAAATAGTTTAGTATAGCAAACATTAATTTAATATAAGGATAAAAAATTTTTTTTATGCATCATATTAATTTATTGAACTACTCTTATATCATTTTCTTTATCTCTTTCATTTATGCTATATTAAATTTTAAAATTGACGCAGAAACGCGGGTTTTATTTTTTATTAGTATCAGAGAAACAGAGCATTTATGAAAATGATTATACAAAACAAACACTATTTTACAACTTTCCTCTTAACATCAGAGCCAAATGCAATTTCAGGGTCACAAACCCTGCTCTGAATTGTGACCTCCTACACTTGAACGAGCTGCAGATTCTCTTTAATATTCCTCCAGAGTTGCGATAGCTTGGCCACGGAGTCATCCTTACCCTAGAGGTAGGATCGTTGCAGGCGAATTTTCAGCCGGTGTGCCAGTGGCCATCTCTGGTCTGGGAAGATTAGTGAAAAGTGTCATTGACGATTGATGCAGTCTCGGTAAATTCCAGGGCATTGCTTCCCGCCCCCTGGAATTCTGTTGCATCGTTGTATCATCGGGGGATCAGGTCAGATTAGCCTTTTGAACATGAGGAACGTGTGAGAATGACTGTAATGTGTTCAAGGTAGCGTGCGTGCTTCAACGCCTGCTATTTTTCGATAATCAAATGTTGCATATCAAATTGTTTCTTTTTCAACAGTGTGCTGCCTTGACATCTTGTAATTATAATAATATAATAGTATTAATAATATTAATGATTACGAAAAGCAAAATATTATCAATAAAAATCTTGTAATTACCCAGCAATGATCTGTTCCGCGTTTTGAATTCCAATTAAAATATTAAAATATTTATATAAAATAAAAAAAAAGTACCTCTGGTTAGTTATTAACACGTCTTCTTTAGGAGACCCAAACCAAACCAAATAACAACACTCACGTTTTGTCACCTTGGACTCTGTCAAAAAATAAATTGTTTTTTCCCAAAAAAAAAAAAAAAAAAAAAAAAACCAATTCGCGTCTGTCCTACCAAAAAAAAAACCAAAAGGATAAATAATTAATATTAACATGTACACT